GTCCTTGGAAATTGAAATCAAGGACTGGAACATAGAGACTACAAAAAACTATTATTGTAAAGACACACTGTTTAATAAGATTGTGCTATAAATTGACAAATGTGGATTATCCGAAAACATTATTCTCGTTTGCCCTTATTCGTTTCTTCTTAGATATTTTATTCGTTGTACGTTTAATATAATTTCTTGTAGAAAGTAGTTTCTCCGAGACAAAAATGAAAAATACTGCAACTTCTTGAACAAACAACAACTTGGAATTGATCTTGATTTTAAGAACAGATCCAGTTTCATTTGAAAAGGAAACACACAGAAGACAACCTGTGTGTACAGGATGTTTTATTTTCCTTCTTGTAAACGTTTAATGCTCTGATCGCTTTACAGCACTTGTACGGTGTTCAAAGTTTATGGAGTTCACGGTGTTCGGATTAATTGGTTTGTTTTAATTGACTTCTAGGTTAATTGAGTACAGCGTGCCTTGAATTTCAGAAAGCGCGATCCAATTAAGGCCAATATGCAGTTTAATGATAAGTGTGTAGGATGCCCTGTACACATTAGTATAGTTCCTGGAGTATGCTACGATACTTATTTTACTATCATAAAATACCTCTAGATCCTTCTAATATTGCAATCAAATATTATTTACAATATTCAATTTAAACAAAAATACCCGAAGATGCAATCCAACACAAATTAAATCGTAACTCCCATCCTTCGTGTTTCAATTTCACCGTCCGCAGAAAAGAAATTTAATCAATGACAGTTTACTATAGATTTCCAATTACCATTAGTCCTTTTTATTATTCATTTTACTACTAACGAGTAGATTTATTTTATTCACCTATTGACTAAGATTAGTTCACGTGACTTTCCTACAAAAATGCATACTCCTCTTAATATCGACGTAAAATGAAATTAAATCAAACAAAATGTACAGTTTCAAACAAAAAAAATTTGATTTTCAAATCAAGACATAATCCCCTGAAGCAACTTTTAGCTTCACCTTAAATATCGCGAATTGACACGCGAAACGTTTCTCGTAATTACAGCAATCGGTTCATCGTTTTAGCATCCCATTTCTCACCCACGAAAATAGCAACTTTTGTTCGAACATTGTCGAGTAAAGCAAAAAAAAGAAATACTTACGAAATCCGAAACACGTTTCAGTAGACGGAAGAATGATTGCCTGTCGAGGAAGTATTTTTACGGTGAAGTCAAAATTCAATTCCGCGAAAAAGTGATACCCGATTTCTTGCTGTCTGTCACGCGTAATTATCTTGGCGGTCGTAAACTCGCAACATATTCTTGTTCACACCTATGAATCACGAATAACCGGCAAGAACGAGTGTACACGTAGAACCGGGAGAAATACGATCAACTCCAGTTTATTTTCTGCTGAAGCTTAGTTTCGCGAAACAATTCGTGTTTATTGTCGCGTATCTAATTATCGCGGTGCTTCGCTTAGATCCAAGGGAACCCGATCTCCCGATCGCAATGTCCGATGATTGTGCAAGAAATGAAGGAAGAAAAAAAATCATCTATCGTGACAAACAAAAGCATTTTCATCGAAAGAATTCGTTAAACTCATTTATTCCCGAGATTATTAAATGTATTAATAAGAACAATATTCAAAGTGTTCCTTTTATTCGGTTTACGTAATCGGTTCGCAACATTCTCGTCTCGTATCGATTAGAACGTACTACAATCGCTACGTTAGAAAGAAAGTTCATTGAATTTTAATAGGATTACTATAAAAATGTGAAACTTAAGAAGGATACGTGTATTACAAGTGCGACTCGAGAAACTTAATGTTACATTATACTCTAACGAATTGGTATTACTGTAATACGTTTAGCAAGTTTATGCAAGGGAAATCCAATTCCGATTACCGGCTATTTCAGCTATTACTACTATCGGCATTATTTTTTATATCACCATTACAATTTGTCTTTTATTATCAAATTAGAAACAAAGGAAATGAGAATAGTTCACTTAATTTAATCAGTGACCCATAACTAAGAAATACACAACACAATCGTACACATGGATAATCATCTGTATAATTTACAGTAGTTTCTAATGATCCAATCGAATCGTCGCAACTTGAAATATATAATAAAAAGAAATACCTAATCAAAATCTGTGAATCTGTCAAATAAAGACGTTTACGAATCTCTATCCAATTTTGATTCGATTTCCATCTCTATTCATCGAACACAATAAGGCTCAATACACGCTGTAAATCCAGCCAAAATTCCTTCTCCATTATTTCAAAAGTCACATAAAATCCAATGGAACGTTTAGTATCGACTGCACGACAGATTATAGCGTCGAATCGGCTGTCGCTAAGTTTCCTTTAATCGCGTCCGGTCTCGTTCCCGGTAGGAATTAATGAATGCGCGGATGTACGGCTGCCGTTTTCACGGAGATGCTCGTAAACGGGCCTGAATCGTAGACGGCCGCGTCGTAAAACACGAAGACAAGTGGCAGGAAACACGGCGGTGACAAGCAAAGAAATGGATTGGTCGCTTTAATCATCGAAGCCCTGAACGTGCGCGCTATCGCGGTCTCTCGCTAATATCACGGCCCTGACAAACCATTCCGCGAGGACACGGGACGTCCTGTCCTGTTATCGGCGAGGAGGATCGGTCGGTACCACTAGCGGAGAATTTATTGGCCGCATGGAAGTGCCTTACGCAAGATTGCCCGAGAACGCACATACGGCCGGCGTATTTTACTCGCGGTAAGGATCGCTTTATTACCGAGAAACTCTTCGTTTCTAATTGTGCGTTCGCTTTCCCAGATGCGAGCATCCCGTTCGACGAGTGAGATATCTGTCGAGCGCGAACACCTAGCCGGTTACCAGAAAATCGCTGTCGACAGATCTTCTGTCGGATAATGAAACCGCAGCTGTTTGGAATTGTTGGAATCGATATTCCAAATGTTGTAAGATCAACTCATCGACAACAGCAACATCTCATCACTCCGTAAGCACATAGAATCATCCGGCAACAAACATCCTAATCACACTATTCAAGCGCCTACTCATCTAGTCTCCTGTACCTACTGACTCATCCTGTCCTCTGCACTCTGCCCTTACACTAGGCTTTGTATTTCCATTATTCACCCCCTGACTCGATATATATATATATAAGACGCATCTTGCCACAAGGCTCAGAAAACGACATTACTTGTACTTGAGTGCGGAACTGATCGTCACATAATAAAGTCTCTGAGTGAGTTTATCTTAAAATTCAACACAAATTTGTACGTTGATCTTGGGGGAAAATGGTTTGACCTTTTACACTCCGGACGCGTCTCTCACTCGCTACTTGTTTTGACATAGATCGTAACATTTGATATTTGATATTGAGCTTAACCCCTTAACGCAGCTTTTTTGAAAAAAACCGGCCGAAAAAAATCAATTTTGATATACTGCGCTTTTGTTCCATGGAAAAAGGCTATATTTTATTCTTGAATAAATAAGTGTTATAGCTTACAATCCCATGTAAATGATAAATATCAATAAAACGATTTTTTTTCTTTGCTTTCACATTGTTATTT